TACGTCTCTCGCTCTGGTAATGATGAATGGTCTTGTGATCAATCGAATCCTTGCAAAACCATTGGGCGAGCTGTCATGTTAGCGTCAAGAGGAGATAAAATTCACATTGATGGTAACAACACTGACAAATACCCGTATAGCTGTCAATCAGGAACGTCACAGCATCCGGGAATATACATCAACAAGACTCTATCACTGATTGGTTCTGCTAATCCCATGCCTCAGATACGTTGTTTCGAAGAAACAGGGTTGGTGTTCAGTGGCTCTGATAGCGCGGAGGACATGAATATAACTATATCAGGACTGTTATTTAGTGAAAGCCTTGTATATGTTCAAGATTCCTCTGTTCATATCGATGGTTGTAAGTTCCAAGGTAGTAATCAGAGAGTGGAAATTGTTATTCGTTACAGTGCGTTCTCGAAGATGCTGGTTACCAATTCGACATTCTCTAGAAACCGTAGGTGCATTTCAATAGTTGTCCAAAGTGAAATGAGCTTATCCCCAAATAGCCAATTAATATTCAAGCTTTCAAATTCCTCGTTCGATGGCAATCTTTGTGTAGACAGAGGCGGATGTATCTCGTTCTACAAACCTGAGTCCAGTATACAGACCGTTAGCTGCAATGTCACACTGGATAATGTGATATTCTCCAACAACAACTTCAGTTCAGGACTCTTCGTTCTAAACATTAACAATGGCAGACAGAACATATACCTTCAGAACGTGACAATTAGCGAAAACGCGCCATCGTCAACAGTCTTAGATGCTCTGGGAGGTTTCCTCGGTGGTGAATACGTTGTCTCTACTAATGATGTACATTTTTTGGTCAATTCCAGTAACTTCAGAAGTGAACATGCGCGTTTATTCCATGTGACTGCGTCAAAAATTTCATTTGAAATCTTCAACTCGCGTTTTTTTGGTCACAATTCCAAAGGAAGAGGTGGAGTTGCATCGCTGGTTGGTGCTTTTCTTTGCAGGCTGAAAGTCTCCAAGTCATTATTTATTGACACAACTGCTGCCCAAGGAGGAGCTTTCAATATAGAATCCTCCAATGATGTTAATGCAAGCATTGAGGATAGCACTTTCTACGGCAATAAAGCAACAAATGACGGAAGCGGGGGAGCGGTTTTTATTAGTGCCTCAGAGTCATCATTGCGACTAAGTCAGTCTGCTTTTACGGAATGCACTGCTGGAAATGGTGGAGCAATTTCTATCGAAACAAAATCGAATTTACCGAGCGCATATCCTAAAGATATTGGTTTGCTCCTAACAACTGAAAGTTCCAATTTTACAGGATGCAGTGCTAATATACAGGGTGGTGCATTGTACCTGATTTATGACACCAATACGCAAATTAGCCTGAATAAAAGCCTTTTTATCTCTAACGGTATGGAATTCGCGTTCGGAGGTGGCGCTATCTGGGCCGTTTACAATTCAAAATCTGAAAAGGATTTGAACGGGAACACCAGCCAAATGACTTTAGAGCAGTGTACGTTTTCAGACAACCATGCTCGTCAAGGTGGTGCTTTATGGCTGTCACTGAATGGCCCAAGTCTGCTCTTGTTCAGGCACGTCATTATGGAAAATAACAGAGCTACTGAAAAATTTGGAGGTGCTGCCGTTATCTACGACAGTAGTATTCAAGTGCAAAACTCGCGATTTTCTAATAACTTTGCAGGTTATGGTGGTGCGTTTTGGATAATCGGCGATGTAAATAGTCTTCAAGTTATGAATTCTGTTTTTGAGAACAATTTTGCTGCAAGCTACTCTGGAGGAGCATTTCTGATTCAAACGGGGCTGGTTTTCCTCTCCATCTCTATAGTTAACTCGACTTTTAACAACTGCTCAGCCACATACAATGCTGGTGCTGTCAATCTTGTTACAGGTAACACCGTAACGGTAAGTATCTTTATTAAAATGTCTCGTTTCCAAAACAATTACTGCTCTTCTGGGAGTGGAGGAGCCCTAAGAGTGTCTTCGCCGTCTTCGTATGGACACACAGGTATTAAGGTTCAAGAATGTAGTAAGAGTGATACGAAAATACGAATAAAAAAAGATGGATCCAAAGAAGATACTCACCTTTTCATCGAAGACTCCGTCTTTGAAAGAAATACTGCACCATTTGGCGGTGCTATATACTTGGGTGTTGGAAAAGCAGCATTTTATAATTGTTCTTTCATTGATAACTTTGCTAGATTGCGAAGTGGACATATTCACTCAGTCTTTGGTTTAGCAAGCTTAAAAATACAAGACACCCTCTTTAGACAGATAATGAATGAATTTAAAAGAGATAAGATTATTTTAACAGTTACCTCGTTTCTTGAAGCGGAAAACATCTTAAGTCTTAAATTATATAATACCACAGTAGATGTTAGACCTTATGGCAGTACCGGCCCCTTTATACTGATAACAAATGGAAAGCTGATAGACGTGGGAACCAACAACTTAACGAATTTTAATTGTCCTGTTGGGAGCAGGCTAGACATTCTAAACATAATAGATGAGTCAGACTCGCTCAGTACTTGGCAGTTTAGCTGTTCAGTCTGTGCAGGCAATTCCTACAGTTTACAGCGTGGTCGTGCTGTTGGATCTCGTGTGGTACCAGGATTTCAGTGTCTTCCATGCCCGTTTGGAGCAAACTGTTCTCAAAATATAATCGCCAAACCAAACTTTTGGGGTTTTCAAGAACAGCTTATTTCCCCAAAGCTTAAGTTTACCATGTGTCCTCTGGGTTACTGTCGCCCACCTGACATAAAAGATTTCCCCAAATATAATGGTTGCCAGGGTAACCGTTCTGGTGAATTATGTGGACAGTGTAGTGACGGTTATTCAGAGACCCTTTTTTCTACAAACTGCAGACCCTCACAAAAGTGTAATGATAAGTGGTTTTGGCCTGTTGCGTTGCTTTATGTGTTGGTCATGGCTTTTTATTTCACGTTTAAGCCCCCTATTGTCCCCTGGGTGAAACGTCAAGTACTCTGGTTTAAAGCGCGCGACACAACAGACGAGGAGAACGAGTTTGACAGAGGTTATCTTAAGATTATTTTCTACTTTTATCAGGCAGCAAACCTTTTGCTCGTCTCCAGTACGTCACTACGTATTTTTAGAACCATGTTTGCGGGGATTCTTGTTGGACTTTTCAATTTTCAACTAAGAGTTTCATCGGGTGGATTGATTTGTCCCTTTCCTGGGATCACTGTGGTAACTAAGCAGTTATTTTCTGTTTCGCACGTGTTTGGCACATGTCTGATGATTGGCATTATTTATATTGTTCACTGGGGAGTTCGGAAAATTCGAGGTCGAGAAGCACCATTTGCTGGCCCTTATATTGGCGGTATTTTACAAACCATGTTGCTTGGATACACAACTCTTGCTTCTGTCAGTTTTGACCTGCTACGATGTGTTCCCATTGGTTCAAAGAAGCAGATGTTTTATGATGGAAACGTGGAGTGTTTTCAGTGGTGGCAGTACATGTTGATTGTTTTTGTTTGCGCATTCGTTGTACCTTTCGTACTTGTTTTGTTTTGGGGCAGTTTTAAACTTTACAACCAAACACTTTCTGGGGAAAAATTGGTATTGGCCTGTTTTATTCCTTTACCATCTTTGGTTTATTGGGCTTTTATCTCTTTAATTCAAAGAAGAAAACATGGAGACAACAAAGAAACACTGGTTTCAACCAATGCAGGAAACGATGACACGCCCTCCATCAACATCACTGTCAATTCTATAAAGAGAGTTCTTTATGACTCTTTCAAGAGACCAGAAGTTGGCGGAAAACTGTCTTTAGGATGGGAAAGTGTTATGATCGGACGCCGGTTGATTTTGGTTGTGTTGAAAGCTTTTGTCAGCGATCCTATGTCTCGTCTTCTTGTCATGATTTTCTTTTGTGTCTTGTTCTTTCATCATCACTCTATGATTCAACCATTTCGTGACAGTTTGGCCAACAGGGTGGAAACAATTTCGTTGCTATTTCTTACTGTTCTTGCAATTCTCAACATGTTTTTTGGCTCTTTTCTGTCGTTGGCTGCAACATCAGACGCTTATTTGAGGTATTGGTGGGATGGCTGTCAAGTTTTACAAGNTGGGAAAGTGTTATGATCGGACGCCGGTTGATTTTGGTTGTGTTGAAAGCTTTTGTCAGCGATCCTATGTCTCGTCTTCTTGTCATGATTTTCTTTTGTGTCTTGTTCTTTCATCATCACTCTATGATTCAACCATTTCGTGACAGTTTGGCCAACAGGGTGGAAACAATTTCGTTGCTATTTCTTACTGTTCTTGCAATTCTCAACATGTTTTTTGGCTCTTTTCTGTCGTTGGCTGCAACATCAGACGCTTATTTGAGGTATTGGTGGGATGGCTGTCAAGTTTTACAAGTTATTATTCTCTGTGCTGTACCTACGCTATTTTGCCTTCTTGTGGTTGCGGCTGTTTTATCGCAGCTGAGTCGCCTCATCATCGTGGCTGGGCGCTTTTTGAGCAAATTTATGTGGATCTGTCTTAGCATGTGCGATGGAGATCAGAACGATGAAAGAAGACCATTAAGGCTTGTGACCTAATCACCATATTCCTTTACTGTAGACCGCACTCCTTCTGTTTTCCTCCTCCTGCAAATATGAACAGCAAGAAATTTCGCAAAGGGACGAGGACAATGCTGTTTTAGGTCAATTCTGTGCTGGAGCAGGAGCCCATAACCAGGCGCGAACAACTCCCATACTATGCCTATTTCACGGCGTTTTTACATACCAGTTTAGGGCACTTTTTCCCGCGAAAATAGAATCTCCACCATGTCTATGAGGGTATTCGAAGTATAAAATTTCAAAACGAAAATTTAAACGTTACTAAAAGGGAAAAAATATAATTTTTGGGTCTGTAGGTTTCGCTGACTGGTTTGTAGAATTTAAAGGATATTCAAAATTCGCGCCAAAACCGTTCTAAAAATAAACTGGTCCGTGAAAACGCCGTGACACGAGCGCATGAGAGTTGCTCGCTCCGGGTTATGGGCTCCTGGCTGAAGTTATTGTTTAGTACCTTTACCCACCAAACACGAATTGCTACTGTAGAGTTATGAACAAGATGTCGGTCAAATTCATCAGGATAACTAACCATAATAATTTTGGTGATTGTTGTAGGGATAGCATTGAAATTTGGAAAAACTGGCTCAGATGCTTTCAAATTTCAATCGATGTTCATGTTTGCCATCGGTATTAACAAAAGCTAAAGACTGAAACAGTTTCAATGCCTACACATATAGTCTTAAATAGCAAAACTGGACCATTACGCTTGGAATTCAGATGATACGAAGACACGTTTTGGCTTTTTTAAAGGGTATCATATAGTGTGACGTAGCTCCTTTACTGCGCTTTTCACAAACACGGGAACGTCCAAAATCCGACTTCCCAATTACGTTTTTCGCTGCCGTCAATCATAATAGGTCACTTGCACTAAGAGGTCACGTGACCAATACTTCCCTTAAACAATTAGTTGGAATCTGCTGATGCCAAAAATTGACAGAGCCCTATAAAATTATCTAACACCCGAAATCTGAGAGGAAAAGCATTTAAGGGAGATATTTTATGGCACTTTGATTTTTCAATAAAGTGGTATGATTTGTATTGGCCGCCATGTTGGAAGGCATACTCTTGCCCTCCAACATGGTGGTCGAAACTACTTTTTGCTTACATCTTGTTAAACTTTTGATAGTTACGCTCAGATGTGCTGTAAACGTTACCACATCATTTTTTTAACATTTTTCTTGAAGTTTAAGTGCAAAAGTTGTGTTCAGAAAGAAGTAATTCGTAATTTTCAAAATCACATTTTGGTCACGTGACCAGCTACAAACTTACTCATTTTAAGACAATGGGGCAGGTTTGAGAAACCGAACCACTTTTATTTTGTTTAGGATACGACCCACTAATCATTTTTTGAAGGCAAAATCATTTAACTTTCATTTTCATAAAAACGATGTCACATGACCTCTTAGTGCAAATGGCCTATTAGGATCACAAGCAACGAACCTTGAAACACAGAAGCGCACAAAACGGATAGAAATCCACCGATCACAGATCACAAACCATGTCCTTTTGAACCCGTTTAAGTAAAGTTCTGTTTCCTAAGAGGTGCGCTAAGATGATTGACGGCAACGAAAAACGCAAAAGTCAGTTGGCTTTTGAACTTTAGAGTTGGCGTGTTTTTAAAAAGCGCAGTAATCTAGGCGTGTAGTCCCTTAAATCAACAGAAAATCAACCATCCTTTGATTAGAGATCTGCAATGAAAGTGAAGTAATCTTTCCAAAAGTTACCATACTCCAAAAATCCCGGCGGGGGCTACTTCCTTATAAGAGGCTAATGGGAATGTGCCTCTTTATGGGGTCGCATTTTCACGGCTGGATTGACTATAGTGGGGTCGCATTTTCAATAGAGTTACTAGAATGGGGTCGCACATTTTCTGATTTTTTCNGAAGTAATTCGTAATTTTCAAAATCACATTTTGGTCACGTGACCAGCTACAAACTTACTCATTTTAAGACAATGGGGCAGGTTTGAGAAACCGAACCACTTTTATTTTGTTTAGGATACGACCCACTAATCATTTTTTGAAGGCAAAATCATTTAACTTTCATTTTCATAAAAACGATGTCACATGACCTCTTAGTGCAAATGGCCTATTAGGATCACAAGCAACGAACCTTGAAACACAGAAGCGCACAAAACGGATAGAAATCCACCGATCACAGATCACAAACCATGTCCTTTTGAACCCGTTTAAGTAAAGTTCTGTTTCCTAAGAGGTGCGCTAAGATGATTGACGGCAACGAAAAACGCAAAAGTCAGTTGGCTTTTGAACTTTAGAGTTGGCGTGTTTTTAAAAAGCGCAGTAATCTAGGCGTGTAGTCCCTTAAATCAACAGAAAATCAACCATCCTTTGATTAGAGATCTGCAATGAAAGTGAAGTAATCTTTCCAAAAGTTACCATACTCCAAAAATCCCGGCGGGGGCTACTTCCTTATAAGAGGCTAATGGGAATGTGCCTCTTTATGGGGTCGCATTTTCACGGCTGGATTGACTATAGTGGGGTCGCATTTTCAATAGAGTTACTAGAATGGGGTCGCACATTTTCTGATTTTTTCTTCATATTTACGGTTAGCAAACTTATCAGAATTTTTGTACTGTAGGTGAAAAGTAAACTGTTCTTCATTCAATATAAGGTAGATACATAAATAGAAAGTGACTAAGTAGGGATTGCGAAAATTACATATTTTCCCAAATGTGACTAAGATGGGGTCTTTAATTGGCCACAGACTAGACTATAATGGGGTAGAGGCTCTAAGAGGCCAGCGGTACTTACCCAGCAAAAATTAACCCAAGTACTCCCTCCCCTCCGAGGGCAAAAATTCTGACAAATATTTTTATCGCATTAGATAACACTAAATTTCATTCAAATTAATGTACTTATATCTATCTTAAAACACAGGCGCTCTTTTGTTTATAAGACGTTTTGATCAGGTGTATAGTCGGGTTATTTAGTGACTCTTTCTAAACCGAGAAGAGTGTCTTTTAACACTTAAAAGTGTTAGATACCGTAAAATTCCGAAAATAAGCCCCTCCATGAATAAGTCCCCCAAAAGCGTAACGCAAAAAACCCTCCGTTAAATCACCCCTCTGAATATAAGCCCCCCGGGGGGCTTGTACTTGGAATTTGCCCTCGAATACAAAGTAAAACAAAGCAAAAATGGTAAATTTCCTTTCCGCTACAAGCTAGCCCAACCGATTTTATAACGCAAATTTCCCTCCGTCCTTAAGCCCCTCCGAATATAGGCCCCTCCAAAAATAAGCTCCTCAAAAAGAGCCTTTGAAAAATATACGCCCCGGGGCTTATTTTCGGAATTTTACGGTTTACCGGTGCTATGTTCGAAACCAACTTTCTAGTGTAGTAAAACTAGTGTAGTTGCACTGATCTTTTAAGAGGAACATTTGGGTCATGCATCTTTATTTTAGTATTTGCCCGTAATTCTAGTTAGTTTTTTTGTCGTAGCTTAAGTATTATTAGAGCCAGGACTTCTAGTCTTTAGCTTTAATCTTTAAACAAACACGCCTTCAATAAAATCCAGCCAAGTCAGTTGTTGTAGCCTCCAAAGCAGACGTAATGTAACCTCAGTTAGTAGAGAGTTTAAGAGTACGTTTTTTGGGGAGAATCCAAAAGCGGATTTGTGATCTCAGATCATACGGATTCTTCACTACCAAAAAGACGGAAGATCCGAAAAAGGATCATACAACGGCATGTCCTCTTGCTTCTCGTGGGAAAAAATAAAAACAAACTGATCCCACGGCAAAGACAAGAAGAAGAAAAAGTAACATAAGCTACGAATGAATATACGAAATGTATATATTTCGGTTTGAAACACAAGCGTTTCTCGAATAGAATACACTCCTTAGGATAGTCATAGTATAAGAATTTAAAATTGAAGCCGATGAATTGTTATTTTCTTAAATAATCACTTGGAAAATAAACCGGCGTAGGCTGACACTCGCATACATACAAAAAACATGACAAGTAAGGATTTCAAACACTCTACCAATAATTTGAATAGATGACAATCATGGAATGATATGTAACTAATGGCTCATAATTAATAAGGGTCACCAACATAGGTTCAGTTAGAACGTCATACATGTACGGCATCTGTTTCGCACCATTTTTTTTTCGAAAAACCGCTTGTCAAAAATACTTTTTTCAAATCCTTTCCCAAAAAAACGCTCGGATTTGGATTTGATCTGAAAAATCCACTTGAGTGTAGATTTTATGGATTCATGATCCGTTTTTGGATTTACCCAAAAAAACGCAAAATCCGTTTTTGGATTTCTCCCCAAAAATGCACCCTTACTTCACGTATACGACAAACGGCAAACCTCAGATCCAAGGTGAGAATTTCTCAAAATAGAAACAGGTCAAAGCAATTCTTATACATAAAAAAATTGCGTGAGACAACTAATTTAGGTGTAGAAACTAATGAACAGTAAACGACAAGTAAGGAGAAAACTTGGTCACGTGGTACAAATTCGCTTTTGCCGTTAATTTGACGTAAACGTGATGCTTACCATCTCTAGTAACGTCTGCGAAGAAGCGTCGATATCCTTGTTCTGGGCACCCAGCGGACTCAACGAATTACCAGAAGTGCGTTCCGTATCTCCTTTCATCCTGATCATTGGCATTTTACTGGTGTCGTGACATGAGTGGTAGAAACGAACTTGTCAATAATCAATTAAAGTAATAAGCATGATCGTAAGAATCATTGGCGCTCCATAGGTCTCCGCAGAAATAAAAGAAAGTTCCCAACGAGCTCTATCAGTAATCATCTGAAAATTGAAAATTTCGAAAAGTCATCGATTTTTACCATTTGTTTGACCATTCAAGTCTCAAGAGTGACAAAAACCAATTTTCTAGACGTTTCTGGGAAACTGCCCACCTACCCCTCCCCCAAGCCAACATTTTGCCCTTAGTGAAAAACCAGTGTTTGTGTTGGCTTAGGGGAGGGGTAGGTGAGCAGTTTCCCAGAAAC